TGCAAGGGGAGGCACCTGGGACATCACCTTGGGCGTGGCTGTGGGGCCATCCCTGTGCCTTGGGTCACCCGGATTTGGAGGGTCATCAAACCTGAACAGCTCCTGCATCCCAGGGAGGGCCGGGCCATGGCATGCCCGGGGTGATGGTGAATGCACGAGTCATGGTGAGCCCACGGGTCACAGTGGGCCCAGGGGTGACAGTGGGCTCGTGAGTGACAGCCCTTGGGTGACAGCCATGGGTGACAATGAGTCCACAGGTGACAGTGAGCCCACAGGTGACAGCCAGGGGTGACAGTGAGCCCATGAGTGACAATGAGTCCCACAGGTGGACAGTGAGCCCGTGGGTGACAGCCACAGGTGACAGTGAGTCAGTCCATGGGTGATAATGAGCCCACGAGTGACGCTGAGCCCGTGGGTGACAGCCCACAGGTGACGCTGAGCTGGTGGGTCACGGCGAGCTGGGGTCAGGGGTCACCCACATGCCAAGCACACTCCGGGTGTGTGCTGTCCTGGCTCCCAGCCTCCTCCACAACCAGCTGCCAAGGGACAGATCCAGTCCCGACTGCTGACACCAGTGGGATTATCCCAGCAGTGCCAAAAGTCTCCCCATGGAGGCACTGGAGCATCCCTGTGCCGGGATGGGGATGAGGAGTGGCCCTGTGGCAGCTGGGTCAGACAGGGAAGCAGGTTTTTGGAGATCCTGTGTGCTGGCAGCTGTGGGAATGGTTGGATCATGGGGAATCCTCATCTTGGCTTTGGGACTGTGCTGTGCTGAGGGGGTCCTGGGTGGGGGGTCCTGGGGTGCCAGCAGGGAGAGGGTGTGATGGGGGTTTCTGGCTGCTGGAGATGGAGCAGGATACTGGGGATGGAGTGGGGGGATGCTGGGGATGGAGGGGTTACTGGAGGCAGAAGGAGGATACTGAAGGTGTGTGGGATACTGGAAATGCAGGAGTGGGATGTTGGAGATGGAGGGGGGATACTGGAGATGAAGAAGAGGGGATACTGGAAGTGCAGGGGTGGGATACTGGAGGTGCAACAAGGGATACTGGAGATAGAGGCAGGGATACTGAAGGCACAGGAGGGGATGGAGGGAAGATGCTGGATGGGATGTGGAGTGCAGGAGGAGACAGATGGGATAGTGGAGATGCAGGAGAGGGATGGTGGAGACTGGGGGACAGCAAGAGGTGGTTCAGAGGGGACACTTTGGGGGTGGCAGGAGGCGATGCAAGGGGGAGGAACCTGCCAGCCCTGGAAGAGTTAACACTCCCCCAAACTCCTCCTGGGTTTTCCTTCCAGCTGCTTCAGCTCAGGAAGGTCTGTATGTGGGGAAATTCCTGCAGGCAGCTGCTCCAGCCACATTCCCACATTCTCGAGCCCCGGCATCTCCAGGGACCTTCCCTCCCTCCTGCTGTCTGCGGGAAATGCCTCTGCCCCCCCCCAGACACTACACAAAGTGCCTTTCTTTGGGGGGCTACTGGGGAGACACCTCAGTGTCACAGCAAGATTTAACCCAGGACGGGGAAAACCCCCAAGCACCTCCAAGCCCCCTGTGTTTGCCCCCCCCCAATATGGGACTGATTTCTCGCACGCCAGCAATCTGGGGTTGATGGTGGTACCCCAAGGACTGGGGACAGGGGGGGCACCCCCAGGCACAGGGACCTCCCAGGAAGGCAGCATCATTGGAGTGGGGCTTGGGGTTTAAATTTGGGGGGTTGCACCATTTGGGGCTGAAATTTGGGGGTTGGCACCATTTGGGGTTTAAGATTCGAGAGGGTTGTACTGTTTTGGACAGAAATTTGGGGGTTGCAGTTTGAGGCTTTGCACTCTTTGGGGCAGAGATTTGGGAATTAAAGTTTTGTGCCATTTTGGATTTGGGAGTTTGCACCATTATTGGGGTCTGTAGAGGCACATAGGGTTGAAAACTTCCCTGCGTCCCCCCAAAACCTCTTTGCCACCAGCCCAGGGTGTCCTCCATGGATTGAGGTGTCTCCAGCCAGTGCAGGCAGGACCAGGGAATATTTTGAGGCCAGGCTGTTGTTTCAGGCCTGGGGAATGTTTTGGGGCTGGAGGGGTTTTGGCTGAGGGGTAGTTTGCGGGCTGGGGAATCTTTTGGGGCCAGGGGTTTTTTTGGGGGGGGCTGTAAGAGTGTTTTGAGGCTGGGGTGATGTTTTGGGGCTGTGATGGTGTTTTGGGGCTCGGGGAGATATTTAGAGGACAGGGGGATGTTTTGGGACCGGGGGGTGTTTTGGTGCCAGAGGTATTTTGTGACAGGGGGTGTTTTGGGGCTGGGAGTGTTTTGCAGTAGAGGGGGCTTGGGCTGGGCTGGGTGTTTCGGGTTGGGTGATGTTTCAGGACTGGTGCAATGTATGGGGCAGGAGTGTTTTGGTGGGGGTGTCTGGGCCGGGGTGTTGGGGCTGTCGGAGCCCATCGTCCCGTCCCTCCCGCAGTACCTGCAGATGAAGTGGCCGCTGCTGGACGTGCCGGCTGGGGCCACGCTGAAGGACAGTCGCTCGCCCTCGCCCGCACACCTGGTAAGAACAGCCCCTTCCTGCAGGGTGGGGGATTCCCAGCACCCCCCCACGATCCTGCAATTATGGAATCAGGAAATGGTTTGGGTTGGAAGGGACCTTAAAGACCACTCAGTCCCACCGCTCTGCCCTGGGCAGGGACACCTTCCACTAGATCAGGTTGCTCCAAGCACTGTCCTACCTGGCCTGGAGCCCTCCCAGGGACAGGGCAGCCATGGTGCTGCTGCCCGGGGGATGTTCCTGGGGGGTGGCTGCTGTCCCACCCTGCCACACGCTCTCCCCGCAGTCCAACAAGGTCCCGGTGGTGCAGCACGGCCATCACATGCACCCGCTGACGCCGCTCATCACCTACAGCAACGACCCCTTCCCACCGGGGTCCCCACCCGGCCACCTCTCCCCGGAGATCGACCCCAAGACGGGTGAGCACAGAGTGGGGGGACACGTTTGGGGGAGCGAAGGGAACATGAGGGTGCGGGTGCTGTGCTGGGAATGGGGGGCTCTCCCTTGGGTGGTCCCTCTGCCTCCTGGGTGGTTTCAGCCCGGTCCCTGGGAGGGGGCTGGGGATGGGTCCTCACCTGGTCACAGGTTGAGCTGGAGTGTGGGGATCCCCCCAAGGGCTGTGCTGTGGGTGTCTCAGCAGCCTCTCCCCAGCCTGGGGTGACGGGTGCTGGGAGGGAGACGGGGTGCTCTGAGGTAGATGGGGTGCTTGGCAGCAGACCAGATGCTCAAAGTGAGATGGGGTGCTGGGAGGGAAATGGGTGCTCACAGGGAGGGTGCTTGGAGGGAGACAGGGTGCTGGAGGCAGACAAGGTGCTCAGTGGGAGCTGGGATTCTCAAAGGGAGGGTGGTGGAGGCAGACATGGTACTGGAGGACAGTGGGGGGGCCCCGAGGCTGCTGTGCCCCTGTTCTAACCGCCCATTCTGTCCCCTCTCTCCCCCGCAGGGATCCCGCGGCCGCCGCACCCCCCTGAGCTGCCCCCCTACTACCCGCTGTCCCCCGGAGCTGTGGGGCAGCTCCCGCACCCCCTGGGCTGGCTTGTGCCACAGTAAGGATGGACTGGCCCCGGCACGGGGGTTGCTTCCAGCTTCGTGTCCCTGTGAATCCCGGGAGCCCACAGCCCCCTGAGACCCTCCTCCTCTTCCCACTTTACCCAGTTTCCCCCGCGAGTTCTGCAGGATGCCACAGGCTCCCGTGGGGGGTGGGAAGGGCGGGGCTCCCCACCACTGGAAAATTTGGGAATCATTCAGATGGAGATAGCTGGAGACCAGTCCAAGGATCCCCATGAACTGGGAAGGGATCTTTTTTCTGCTGAAACTCATGTTTTTGCAGGCAAGGACAGCCCGTGTACTCCATCCCTCCCGGTGGCTTCCGGCACCCGTATCCCGCCCTCGCCATGAATGCCTCCATGTCCAGGTGGGTCTTGGAAGGGGGAGGGACCCTCACAGGCATCCTGGAGCTGGTGGTCGGTTTTGGGACACTTCCCTGCAGAAAATGCACAGGCACAGACCAGTCCCAGATCGGGGTGTTCCCCTTGCATGAAGATCCCCCTGGAGGGAGCGGGTGGTCCCCACAGGTGGAGGAATGTGACATCCCAAGGGCTCAGGGCATCGCTTGGGTTGGGTTTGTGTCCCCATCTCAAAGCTGGGGCAGGATTTGGGTGCTTTTGGGTGGATTTGGGGTCTCCAGGGTGGATTTGGGGTCTCCAGCATGGCTTTGGGGATTGCAGCATGGATTTGGGGTTTGCAGAGTGGATTTGTGGTTTCCAGGGTTGATTTTGGGGTTTGAAGCATGGATTTGGAGTTCCAGCATGGTTTTGGGGTTTCTAACTTAACTGGCTTGAGGCTAGTGGTCTCTCAGCCCAGGAGGTTCTCAGGGGGGGTCTGTGGGTGCCTGTGGGGAGGTGACCACCCCTCCTGTTCTCTCCCCCCGCTGCAGTTTGATGTCCAGCCGCTTCTCCGCACACATGGTCCCACCGCCCACCCACGGGCTGCACCCCTCGGGCATCCCACACCCCACCATTGTCTCACCCATCGTCAAGCAGGAGCCCACCCAGCCCAGCGCCAGCCCCGGAGGCAGCTCGTGAGTGGGGGCCGGGCCAACCGTGGGGACAGGGGCTCGTCCAGGGGGTCCTGACCCCCATCCTGCTCCTTCCAGGAAATCCCCTGTGGCAGTGAAGAAGGAGGAGGAGAAGAAGCCCCACATCAAGAAGCCACTCAACGCCTTCATGCTGTACATGAAGGAGATGAGGGCCAAGGTGGTGGCTGAGTGCACGCTGAAGGAGAGCGCTGCCATCAACCAGATCCTGGGCCGGCGGGTATGGTTGGGATCCCCCCATCAGGGATCCTCCAGACAGCCCAGCTCCACTTCTCCCCACGGATCCATCCCTGGACCTGGGGTCCTTCCAACCCAGGGAGTCCCAGGGAGGTGTCAGGCGTGGGGAGGGATGGGGAGGGATGGACCTCTGCATCCCAGGACAGTAGGACCTCAGGGTCAGCAGCATGGATCTGGGGATTCCAGCCTGGCTTTGGGGTTTCCAGTGTGTCTCTGAGGTCTCCAGTGTGGCTTTGAGGTCTCCAGCATAGTTCTGGGCTTCCCAGCATGTCTTTGTTGTCTCCGGTGTGAATTTGAGGTTTCCAGCATGGCTCTGGGGTCTCCAGTGGGGATCTGGGGGTTTCCAGCATGGCTTTGGGGTTCCCGGAGTGGCTCTGGGGTCTCCAGCGTGGTCTCTCCCTGCAGTGGCACTCGCTGTCGCGGGAGGAACAGGCCAAGTACTACGAGCTGGCGCGGAAGGAGCGGCAGCTGCACTCGCAGCTCTACCCGACCTGGTCGGCGCGGGACAACTACGTACGTGTGTCCCCCGCGGTCCCACCCCCCCGAGAGGCCCCCTCTCCCAGGGTTTGGCTGGCAGGGGAGGGCTGGCCGTGCTCCGGGGTCGGTGTTTGGGGTGTTGGGGGCGGTTGGTGACGACGCCAAGTCCCCGCGGATGCTCTGGGGCAGCGTCAGCCCCAGTTTCCCACCACGGGCAGCCAAAAGCCACAGAAGAACCCGAAATCATCTTTTCCAGGGCAAGAAAAAGAAGCGGAAGCGCGAGAAGCTGGCGCAGCAGCAGAGCCACGACACGGACAGTGAGTACCCCCCCCCCGCCTCCCCTGGCCAGGCTCCGGCCGCTCACCGCTGTGCCTGCCCTCCCCAGGCTCCCTGCCCTCCAAGAGCAAGAAGCCGTGCGTTGCCGTACCTGCCACCCGAGAAGCCCGTGTGCCAGCCCGGCCTCGTCCCACGCAGCATGCTTGCCCGCCACTCGCCGCCCACCCGCCGCGCCGGCCCCCACCCACTCGGAACAGGCCCAGCCGCTCTCGCTCACCACCAAGCCAGAGGCCAGGGCTCAGCTCGCTGTGCATTCCACTGTCCTCTCCAGCAAAGCCTCCTCTTCTTCCTCCTCTTCCTCTTCCTCCTCCTCCTCCTCCTCCTCCTCCTCCAGCCTCAGCAGCCCACCCTCGCTCCTCTCCAGACCCATCCCCTTCCCCTCCGTGCCCCCCACGGCTCTCGTCTCCTCGCCCCCTGGCTCTGTCCCGGCTGCCTTGGCCGTGCTGCAGACACAGCCCCTTTCCCTGGTCACCAAACCTGCTGACTAAGGGAAAAACCTCATCCCCCCTCGTCCCCTTCACCCGTCCCCTCCCCGCTGTACATTGCAGAAGCCACAATCAAGATTCAAACGCAGCCAAAACCATTATTGGTCAATATTTGACCCTTTCTGAACTTTTTGGAAGCAGACTCTGGAGGAAGGGGCTTTCTACTCAGAGCTGCTGCCAGCAGTCGACCTAAAGACTGTTTTTATTAAAAAAATGGAAAAAAAGGAAAAAAAAATTAAATAGACCCTCCACAAGCTGCCGACGATGGGAATCTCCGTGGGATGAGCCAATTGCCCGTCGCTGCCGTGGGGCATAGGGATGGCACTGGCACGGTGATGCCGGCACTGAACATGGCGAGTGCTGTGCTGGAGCCGGCATTCCATCCTGGATCCTACAGCAGGAATGCCTCCACCTGCTCCCGAACCCTCCCATCCTGTGGCTCTGCTCCCATCCCCGGCTCCCACCTTCGCTCTGTCCTGGCGAGGAGCCGGATCCTGTCCCGGGGGTGCTGCTCCATCGGTGCTGCTTCTGCCCGCGGTCATGCCGGGGTGGGCAGGGTCCAGGGCTGAGCCCTGGGGGGGTTGTGTTTTTATCACCTCGAAATCCTGTTATTTTTCACAAAAGGAAATAAAACTACAGCTGCAACTCACTGCGTGAGCGTGGTCCATGCGGGAAGGGCTCGCTCCTTGTGCATCACCTCCTTCCTGGGAAACGTGTCGGGATGGGCTTCCAGTCCCACTGCAGAGGTCCAGCATCCCCTGAACACCTCTGTCAATGGGCACACGGTGATTTTGGAGTGTCCAGTTTGGGGTGCTAGAGCGATCCAGGCAGCAGGATGTGGGGGATTGGGTGACCCAGTTTAGGAGGTGCTCAGGAGGTGGGAAGTGGGAGTTACTGGTGTGCACTGGATGCTCCGTGCCTGCTTCTTCCAAACCAGGGATGAAAAGATTGGGATGAAAAAGGACCAGCACAAAACCAACCCAATGGATTTTCACTTCACCTGAAGTCCTCAATCAGTTCAATATTTGGGCCCATCAGGACTCCTCCCTCTTCCTGTGTTTTAACAGGAAAAAAACCTCAGTTTTCCCCCGGAACTCACAATTTTGTTTCTGTTTCAGATTGACTCCAAGCTGCACCCATCCAGAGCTGATTTGTGGGGTTCATAGTCCTGTTCCATTCCCTTTCTGAATTTCCCTCCCAGTTCCCATATCCCAGGACCTTCTCTATCCACACCCCTCCTGCATTTTGGGGACCGTGGTGTCCCCCAGCTCCCGGCTGTGGCAGTGGTGACATCCTGACTGCCGGTGACAGGTGAGCCCATCCTGCAGCTGCTGGGTCTGGTGGGGCTTCAGCTCCTTTGGGGATCAGTGATGTTTTTCACTCCTGTTTTGACATTTCCTTTTCCCTTTCCAGCGCTGAGAAGCCACCGGGGAAGTATTTTTGGGGAACTGGAGCAGCAGCAGGTGCCTGTCTGCAGGTAAAGGCGAAAGGGACCATCTCGGTGTCCTTATGGAAGATGCATCTGTGTTTTCTAGATGAACACAACGCTGGCATGTATAACTCCAGCAGATGACACCTGGATTTGAGGATTTTCGTATCAGAGCTGGGCAGAACTACCAAAAACTCGCACGTGACCTGTGCCCCCAGCTGAGGGGCCCTTGGCTGAGCCCCAGGGACACATCTGGAGCCAACGCTGGCTCCCAAAACCTTGTGAAAACTCCTGATGCCTTCTGCAAACAGCAGTGGGACCTGCAGCAGGAGCATGGCTTCTCCATCCAGTGCAGGACCATCATCTGGACAGCAGAAACTCCCATGTTGGAGCATCCTAGAGCTCCCAAAATCATTGTTCCCAGGGGTCCTGGCTAGTTGGGAGCCGTGAGCAGCGAGTGCAGCTCATGCAGCTGCTTGGTGCCACCACCACCAAATCCTCCCAGTGCCCGGAGCACGACTGCCATTGTCACACCCAAGATAACCCCAAATCTGGGAGGCGTTTCCATTCCACACTCCAAATTATTTAAATTTCCTTCTTTCAAAGAAAAAGAAAAGTGCGGATTCTGGGAAGGAGCTCCATTCCTCTGCAGGAGCACCCAGGAGGACCGGCCACGTGTCGCACGGTCATGCGAGCGCCGGGGTGGAGGGGATTAGGGTGTCACCCAAAACGTGCGTGGCTGTTGCTTGAAAAGGGCCAAAACGGAGCCTTTTTCAGAGAAAGTGTTCCAAGAAAGCGGTTTTGGGCGAGGAACGCCTGGATGGCATGTGGCCTCACTCTCCCCGACACTGGGAGCGGGCTGTGGACAAACAGCTCCTTGAATTGGATTTCATGGGAAATTAAAGGCATGAAGAGACCTGCCACAAGAATTAAATCTGAACTGGAGCCAGACAGCTTCAAACAGATGTTGGGCTTCAGCAGGAGAATATTCCTTTGTTTTACTCGACGTTTTCCCATACGGAAAAGGAACATCTGTTCCAGTGCGTTCACAGTGCTCCAGAGCTGAGACGGGATGGGATTATCCCTGCCAGAGGAGAAGGAACTGGTCACCAAACCCTGCTGGCCTCACTGCTCCTGGGAGAGAGGGTGAGACCAGTGATGTGTTGCTCCAGCCTTGGGTGGACCCGCTGGATCTGTCGTGGTTGAACAGATCATAGGATCAATACATCCATCACGCCTGCAGCAATACAGCTGGATGAAAATGCTGAATTCAGAGTGGTTTTCCATGGAAAATGGGTCCTTCCGGGTTTTATTTGTCCACTGGGAGGTGCTTCTACAGGAGGCATCTCTGCCCATGGCAGGGGATTGGAACAAACTAGTCTTTAAGGTCCCTTCCAACCTAACCATTCCATGATTCTAGAAGAGGAAAACTCTGGGGTTTGTCTTTGTTGCAGACAAAAACTGGATATCCAGTGTGTTTCCATTTGGGATGATGTGACAAGAAGGTCTGGTAGCCCCACTGCTCTGTTTCGGACAAATTTTTGATGATGTTTTCTATGATTTAACTTGTCCTCAGAGCTGGAAGGTGAAATGGAGCTGGTCAGCCTGGGGTGTTGGAGGCTTAGGACGCTCCCCAGCAGTGTTTGGCTCCCTGGAAGTAACTAAAGGGGCTCCAAGAGAGCTGGAGAGGGACTTGGGACAAGGGATGGAGGGACAGGACAAGGGGGAATGGATTCCCACTGACAGAGGGCAGGGTTAGATGGGATATTGGGAGGAAATTTTTCCCCATGAGGGTGGTGAGGCCCTGGCACAGGTTGCCCAGAGAAGCTGTGGCTGCCCCTGGATCCCTGGAAGTGTCCAAGGCCAGCTTGGACAGGGCTTGGAGCAACCTGGGATAATGGAAGGTGTCCCTGCTCATGGCAGGGGGTGGAATTGGGTGATCTGTAAGGTCCTTTCCAACCCAAACCATTTTGTGACTCCACGATTTTCCAGTTACGAGATTTCACTTTTCAAACTTGCACCAAAGCCCCACAATTTTACAGCCAGAGGCCCCAGTTTTTCCCATGAGAAATGAGGTGCTGCCGCTGCCACTGTTTCTTCACGAGGTGCATCCCAACCACATCCAGGGAAGAGGAAAAGGTCAGGGAGGGAATGACATCCCACAGAGTGTTGGCAGCAGAGGGAAGGGGTAGCGTGTTGTGCAGAGGTGGGACAGCTGGATCCTGCCTTAGTGAGAGGCACAAAACAGCTGGAAGAGGGGACAGGGTGCCCGTGGGGTCCCCGTGGAGACACAGCCGGGCAGGAGAGCTGGGAGCAGCCGTGGGAATGATGGAGCTGGGGCTGGAAATGAGCAGCTGCATCCTTGGTAAATCACGTTCACCATCATTGCTGCCTGTTCCTAGAGGGAAACAAAGCTCGGGAAGTGCTTGGTGTCTGCTGGCTGGGGATGGTCCAGGTGAGGAACTACCACAGAGCTGTGCTTGGGGTGGAACTGGCTGCCCCATCCCTGGAAGTGTTCAAGGCCAGACTGGACAGGCCTTGGAGCAATCTGGTCTAGGGGAAGGTGTCCGTGCCCGTGGCAGAGGGGTGGGACTGGGTGGTTTTTAAGGTCTCTCCCAATCCAAACCATTCCCCGATTCCGTGAGAAGGTTTCAAACCTTTGAGAGCCAAACCCCCCAGGCTGCAGCCCTTGTGGAGTTTATTGCCAGGAGCTGGCGAACACCTCGTTAAGGGCTCGTTGGAAGCAAACTCCTGGGAGTGCTGGCCCTGGGCGTGGGAGCATCTGGGGGCCAGCTTGGAGCTTTCCCTGCCGGTTTTTGGACGTGGGGTTACTTCTGTCACCTCCTCCCGATTGCTTAATTGCAGCCACCTCCCCCCTCCTTCGGCCCCCCTGCTCCGGCTGGCCAGGCACTAATTGAAAAGCCTAATGAGGTCCCAGGGGTCTCCTGCAGAGATGAAGCTAATTAAGGGCTCCACCACGAACACCGAGGTTTCCTCAGACCTCTTTTTCGGGGCCCGGGGGGGGGAGAGTGCACCAGATGTCCTGTTCTCCCGCTCTGCGTGCTCAGGGCTCCTGCCAAAGCAGCTGGTGCAGAGGCAGTGGCTACACTTAATACATTTTAATTAGCATCATTAAATTCTTCCATTTGCTAATTGTTTCTCCTTTTGATCCTTTATCCTGACCAGATTAGCCCTCTGGGGGAAGGGACAGGATGGGGGATGCAGACGTGTCGGGCAAGGTGAGGACTTTATTATCTTGTCACCAGACCTTGGGACAACATGTTAAAACACCCCAATTAGTGTAGATTAAGGCCAGATTTGTGTGTCCAGCCTGTTCCTGGTGGCTATTCTTAGAAAGAGTCATCCCCAAAAAGTGAGATTCCACAAGGATTCATGAGAATAGACAGCACCAGTCCAGGAACCCCCAAAACGCTGCTGAGTTGGGATGTAGAGTTGTTGTTCAGGTGATAACACACTCAGGTGACTTTTGGGGTGTCCTGTGCAGGGCCAGGAGTTGGACTTGATGGTCACTGTGGATCCCTTCCAACCCGGGATATTCCAAGATCCCATGACACAGGACCAGCAGCCGTCTCATGTTGGCTCAGGCTGTGTGGGGAGGGATGAGAGGTGAGGTGAGGTCACTGGTCCTGTTTATCCTGTTTTATCCCAAGAGAAGTGTTAGATCCTGGTGTGAGCCACCCGGCTCTGGGCTGATGTCAGCCTCATCCATGGTATTTGGGGCAGAATTCTGTTCCCAGAGGCATTGTTGTAAATCCAGAGGAACTTGGCCTCCTCTCAGTCACTCTTGACTTCCAGGGGATGATTGAAAGCTGGGCATGAGAAACAGCCTCGATTCTCTGTTTAAATCCCAAAAAAGAGTTGGGCCAACTGTTCTGGTCTCCTTGGAAAGGCTGGCATGGGCAGAGCTGAGCAGCAGGGATTGTTGGAATGTGTTGAATTGAATTGAGATTCCTCAGAGACTGGGTTAAAAAAAGAAAGAAGAAAATCAACCACATCATCCGCGATGCTCCAAGGCAGGATTATGCCCCAGTTGTTCCTCCATCACTGTGTGGGACTCGGTTTCCATGTGATGTTTTTCCTCTTTTAGAGTTAAATGGAGTGACTGGAGAAGCTAATGGATCCGTGAAGGATTGTGATTCCTTCTGGAGACAGGTGAGACTTTGCTGCGGGATGTGCCGTGTGATGGATGAGACACCACGGAATAGTGGGTTAAACACCAACAGGTTCATCCTGGGGGCAGAGGAAGGCAAAACCATTGATCTAAATGGAAAAAGGTGGGGTGACGGGGAGAACAGGTTGGGATTGGCAGGAATGAGCCAAGTCAGGGAGGAGATGGTAGAATTTGTGCGTCTGCAGAACTGCACAGGGAGGTGGGGCTGCCTGGGGAAGGACGGGCAGGGAAAAAGCTGGAGATCAAACTCCTGGAGGATGATGCCCCCTCACGCTGATGTATCTGAAACAGGAGACAGAGCTGTGCAGGGTCACTGGGTGGAAGCAGGAGTGAACATGAGGAAGATGCAGGAGGAGCGCCCCAGGCCCACCTGGAGCTCCTTGTTTCACGAGGATATCCAACACGGCTCGGCGGGAGGAGGAATGCAGCGGGAGCCAAATCCTCCGGGGACAATTTTGGACACAAGAGGTGATGTGTGGCTGGGAGGTGACCCTGGGTGACATCAGTCACAGCTCCAGGACACCCAGTGCCACTGTCACTGTGCTGGACACAGCTCATGGATCCGAGGCCATCGGATCCACCTGAGGAGCTCAGCTCTGGGCTCCAGACCCTGCAGCTGGTACAGGGATCACGGGTGGATTCGGGAATGTTTCTACATTTTATCTGCATCAGGTAGAGGTGAGGTTGAGTTCCAGGTAGGAGAGCAGGAGGAGCTGCTGGAACAAGTCCAGAGGAGGACACAGAGATGCTCTGAGTGCTGGAGCCCCTCTGCTCTGGAGCCAGGCTGGGAGAGCTGTGAGTGTTCACCTGGAGAAGGCTCCAGGGAGACCCAAGAGCCCCTTCCAGGGCCTAAAGGGGCTCCAGGAGAGCTGGAGAGGGACTTGGGACACGGGCCTGGAGTGACAGGACAAGAGACAATAGCTTCAGGCTGATACAAGGCATGGTTAGATAGGATATTAGGGAAAAATTCTTGGCTGTGGGGGTAGTGAGGTCCTGGCACAGGCTGCCCAGAGAAGCTGTGGCTGCTCCACCCCTGGAAGTGTCCAAGGCCAGGTTGGAGCAACCTGGGATAGTGGAAGGTGTCCCTGCCCGTGGCAGGGGGTGGGACTGGATGGTTTGGAAGGTCCCTTCCAACCCAAAGCATCTTGTGATTCTATGAATCTCTGGAAAGATGGATATTTAGTCTAGAGATGGGAGATGTAACAGCCTAAACCAAAAGCTCTCAGAAGAAAAGAGCAAACAGCCCTGGGTGCCCGGGGGCAGCCACAGCCGATTTCCGGCCGCCGCTGGGAATCCTTGGGAATCGCTGCTGTTGTGCTCGGCCAGGCCAAAAAGAAAAACAACGGGTTATCCAAAAAATTAAGTAATATCTGAAAAGTAACAAGTTATCAAAAAATCCCCCAAAAAACCAGGTTATCAAAAAATGAAATAATATCCGAAAAATAACAGGTTATTAAAAAATAACAGGTTATCCAAAAAATAACAGGTTTTCCGAAAACACCATGTTATCTGAAGCAGTCCTGAACCAAAGGACAGGAAACCTGCCCTGATTTCCCAACTGCCGCCCCCACAGCCTCCCCCACTCCAGGGCCGGGAGGGCACCCCCAGCGCCCCGCTGCTCACAGCTCCCAGCCGTGGGCTCTCCAGGCCTGGGAACAGACCCCAAACCGGGGGTTTTACCCCAAAAAAGCCGCTCTGACCCGCGCTGGGGGGAGGAGCTGCAGGCCGGGCTGGCCTCCGCCAGGGGGCGCCAAGCCGCTTCCCGCCCGTGACCCCGGCTTTTAGGCCCGGCGCCCCCCCCCTCGGGCCCGGCAACAAGCCAACCCCTATCGCACGCCACGCCCCGATCACGTCTGAGCACAGTATATAGCTATATTAACAGCCCCGCCCGCTGAACCACGCCCCCACAAACTACGGTCCTCTCAGACAAGCCCCAACCCCCGCTCCGGCCCTCAGTCCCGCCGCCCACTTCTCCTTAAGCCCCCCGCCAGACCCTCAGCCTTTGCCCCCCGTCGGGGCAGCAAGCCCCGCCCCTGTCCCTCAGCCCCCGCCCATATCTCCAGGCACCGCCACGTGCCCCCAGCCCCGACCCCCCGCGCGAACCGGTCTCGCTCGCCTCCTCCCCCGCCAGCGCCCCACTCTCGCGAGATCCGCGCCCCGGCAGCGGCCGCCAGTGAGGGGCCCGCCCGTCATGGAGGGGCCGCGCCCGTGCGCTGCCAGCTGCTGCTGCTCTGCTGCCTGCTGGCTGCTCGCGCTCCGCGGCCACCGGTGAGCCCGCCAGGGCGCTGGGCAGGGGCGGGAAAGGGGCAGACGAAAGCCCTTGGCCGGGAGGGGCTCACTGGCATACCGCGCTCCGTTGCGGGGGCTCCTGCTGCCCTGGGGCCGCTGCGTGGGAGGGGGCCGGGAGGGCTCCCCGGGGTCCGCCGTTGTCCCTCTCTCTTAGTCCCCTCTCCCCCGGTTCCCCCTTTCCCTCTGGGGCTCCCCTCGCCTTCCCCCCCAGCTCCCACTTGCCCCCGTGGGTTTCCCCCTCTCCGCTTGGGTTTCCCCGTCGTCCTGTGGAGTTTCCCTCTCCCTCTCGGGGGATTTCCCCCTCACCGGATCTCAGTTCCCCGGTGCTGACTGTGCCCCCCGTGTTTCCACACAGCTCAGGGGCAGCAGGCGGAGAACGGCAACAGTTCCCCAGCCAACGGGGCACGGCAGCAGCCTGAAGCGGGAAGGCGGCAGGAGGAGGCGGCCAGGGGCACGGAGGGAACGGCCAGGCGGGAGCGTCCACACTCAGCGAAGAAAAGGAGCGAGAGAATGCGGCCAACGGGAACGGAGGGCAGCAATCCCAGCCCCAAACGGGCACGAGCAGCGTAACAGAGACAGATGAGAACCAGGAGGCCAATGAACACCAGAACACAAACGTGCCTGAACAGGGCAGCGATGAAGAGAAGAAGAAGAAGGAGGAGACTGAGTCACAGAACAGTCCAGGCCAAGGCAATGGCACGGGGGATGGCCAAGACAGCACAGGCACCAATGGGGCTGGTGGAGGCAACGGTGGAGGTGGAGAGGGACAGAGCAACGGAGGCCAAGTCGGCAGCACTGACAACCAGGCCAGCAGCTCAGGCAACAGCATCAGTGGCCAGGGCGACGGCACCCAGACCCAGAGCAGAGACCCCCAGGGCCAGGGCGACGGCCAGCAGAACCAGGAGAACCACGACAGCAACAGTGACAAGAACAATGGCCAGGGTGGTGGCAACAACAACAGCCAAGATGACAAGAAGGACAGTGCCAAGAACGAGACCAGCAGCCAGGCCAGCAGTAACAAAAATGGGGCTGATGCCCAGCCTGAGAGTAACAAGAGTGAGGACAACAACAAGAGCAACGAAAAAACAAATGAGGACAATACCCAGAGCAACAACAAGGACCAGAGCACCAACCAGGGCAGCAGTGACAGGAACAAGGATGGCAAGGATGGGGGCACCAACCCCACAAACAAGAACACCAGCCAGGACGGAAGTGACAAGCAGCAGGCCCAGAGCCAGGGCATTGCTGGTGAGAACCAGAGCAATGCTGGTGACAGCCAGGGCAGCGATGGTGCCAAGCAGCCTAGCAGCCAGGACAATCAGAACTCCCAGGTGGACCAAAACCGCCCCTCACAATCATCTTCCTCCACTGCGGACGGCGATGGCTTTTTGGGCAACGAAGAGACCCCCGAAGAGGAAAACACTGAGACCGAGGAGAGCAGGGACACCTCCTTTGATCAGGAGAGAGGCAAGAGTGTTCCCTCCGTGCCCAGGGCCCGCTCGGAGAGCAGCCACTTCTTTGCCTACCTGGTGACCACGGCCGTCATCGTGGCCGCCCTGTACGTGGCCTATCACAACAAACGCAAGGTGAGTGGCCCTGCTCCAACCCCTCCACATCCCCCTGAGGGCTGGGATTGGAACCCACTCAGTCCTTTCCCCTCCCCCTGACTGGTTTCTCACCAGTATTTCCCAGTGTGGTTCACGTTCATGTGGCAGGACAGCAGTGTGAGGAGCAGGGTGGGGACTGTAACCAGGAAAGGACCCCTGTGGAAACTGGGTGATCTCAGCTCTGCTGCTGATTTTTGGTTGAAAGGTGAAAACACAAAGGGTTGTGAAATCCCCACTCACTGACAGTTTTCTACAGCAGGCTGCACAAGATTGGGGTTGTTTTTCCTCACAAAGCTGGTTTTGAGGGAGGAGAAAGGAAACAAATTCTTACTGTTTTTGCTTGTTGAGCAAACCTCATTATCCATCTTAGCTGGGGTCAGGTACTGATATTTATTTATTTCAAGTGCCTTTTCACAGGAAATGGGGTCATAGGAGCAGGTGAGTGAAAAACCACAGGCAAGCCTGTGTTGGAAGGGAGATAAAGCAGCTCCCCCACTCACCCTGTCCCTGTTTTTCTCTCTCCAAAGATCATTGCTTTTGCCCTGGAAGGAAAAAGATCAAAAACTGGTCGACGGCCCAAATCTGGTGATTACCAGAGACTGGATCAAAAGGTGAGACCAACTCAAAGCAGGGACTGTGTCCCCCAAGGCTGGGGGAAGGTTGGGGTGCCTGCTGTGTGTTGGAAATACAAAATATCAACCCTTTGCATTAGAAATGGTCCCAAAGCCCTGAGTCAGTCAGTTTTGGAAAGCAGATTTTGGTCAAAGAACAGGGTTTTACCAGGAAATGGAAACAAAAGTACTGAGAAATGCAGGCAGAGCTGACCCAGCTGAGCAAGGCAGAGGTGGGAGAGTCTCAAGCTCTGTTGTGCTGAAAGTTTGTGCCTGGCTCAAATGACTGTCACCAGTGAGTGAATGAGTGAAGGGTAGGATTTGTGGAGAAATCCCTTCCTTTTTCCCCTTGAAACCTTTTTCACCTCTTGTCCTTCAAGGCAGATGTTATTTTCTGCCATGGGAAGAGGAAAGGGAAGCAAATTAAGACAAGAGCTAGTGTTTGCTTTGGGAGCTCATCAGCCCTCTCCAGCCCCAAGATCTGGGCAGAGCAGCAAAGCAATTCTGAGCTTTCAAGTAATTTAAACCTTTCCTTTTGCCTTTCCAGATCTAAGGTCCTCCTTGGACATTCAATGGGATGACAAGAGCCAGCGATGGGAATGCTGTGCTGCCACAGTTGGATTTCAGTCCTCAGGAAGGAGGGGAAACATTTTTTTGTTTTGCACCTGCACCTTGATAAAGCCTCTCACTTTCCTAAATTTCTCCTTTCCCAGCTGCCTTGTTTTCCCCTTGGGCATCTGGCTGCAGGAAAAGCCAGTGCCAGCATTCCCAGAACTTGTGTGTCCCAATGCAATGGAATTTGCCATCTGCTGGACTGACCCCTCCTCTTGGGGAGGAAATTAAGGATCTGCTGCGCAAAGAGCCATGGCATTGTCCCCTTACCTGGGCATGGAGCTGCTGTGGTCACCTCCTCTTGCTCCGTCCGTTGGGTTTGGATGCTCAGGTTGGGACCGTGGTGATTGCACTTATTTGGAATTGACCCACCACAGACCCAGATTTGGGGCTTCTCTCCCTAATTGAGACAGTTTTCCAGTTTCACGCCTAGATTCCTTTTTTCATGCACATCTTTGGCTGTCTTGGGGTAGTTTTTGGGGTGTAGCTCCAACCCTTCATGCTCCACGCGGGTGTTTTTCCTCCCAGTCCTCCCAGCTGAGCTGTTTGCACTGGAGGTGCTGGTTGTGGTGTGGTGCTGTGCAGGAGGGGGTCAGGCTGGGAAAGCTCCATACCCAGTCAGTGTTGCTGTAGCAGGAGCCACCTGGGGAGGTTGTGATTGTTTCCTCTCCCTCCTCAAACACAGGAAGGAGGGAATGTAAATACCTGAGAAGTTTGGGATGAGTGAAGCTTCCAGTCCCTCAGCCTGCTCTCCTGGTTCTGTTGGACTGGTGCTGGTTGGATCGAGGGCTGCCAGAGGTGTCGGTGCCCCAGACACACCTGTGAGGTGGGTTTTATCCCTGCAGTTCTGCTCCCAGGAGGTTTGTTGAAACTGGGACATCTCTGGAGAGGGCACAAAGTGCCTGCCAGGCTTTTGCTTTGAATTTTTCCAATATAGGCAGAAAAAATTGGATTTGAGGAATTCAGAACTCTTCACATGGGTCCCCACCTGCGCCTGGAGCCGATGCCAGCCGTGTGCCAGTCCCCTACTTGCTCACTGACTGCACAGGAATGATCCCTGGGGGTTAACTTTCCTCGTGGGGGGGATGGGAATGGCTTTTTTCCGGCCTTCCCAGGGTTGGGAAGAATTGGTTACCTGCCCTTTGGTCAGCTTGGACAAGGGCAAAGCCTTTTCCTGGTCACTGTGAAAGCTGCAGCTCTAGTTTGGATTTCCTAATGGCCCATTCCAAGGGGGGAGAGGGGGCTTGACCCTCTCCAAACTCAAAAATCCTCCTCCATTCCCTTTTTACCAGCTGTTGACAAGCACAAGGGGTGGAAGAGGGTCCTCTTGGCTTTAAAGAGTTCTCAGAGTTTCCCTGGGAAACTTCTCAGATGCTGAAAGTACTTCAGGAACTGTTTGGGAGAACTGGAGGGGGAGGTGGAGGGAAGAGAAGGGAAACAGGGCTGGGAATGTAACCCTTGGGAAGAAGGGTGGGAACTCCTGCACCAAGCCTCCCTGCTCCAGGGATGCCATGGGATCAGCCAGGCTCACTGGGGGTCTCATTTAGGGCAGAGTGTGGGGAGGGGGCACTGACTGTTGGCTGGTGACAGCAGGGGGACAAACTCTATTCCAACGTGTGGAATTCTGTGTGTTCCCGGGCTGCTCCAGCCAGGATTTTTGGAATGTGTGTGCTTTTTGGTGTGTGCTCTGTCCCTGCTTTGTCCTTTTTTTTTTTTTTAAATTGAGTAATAATTTAGAAAGGGTTTTTTTTTCACCATCTACTCGCTGCTCTATCCTGGGAGCTGTTTCAAATCCTCTCTTCTCCAGGCTGTGGGAATCCCACCCTAGTGCCAGCAGGGGAGGGAATATTTTGGACCTCAAACACCCTGATCCCAGGCTGGACTGAGCACAAGCTCGTTAGGGTAATGAGGATGTACCTCACAGCTCCAGGAAGCACCAAAATCTCCCCCCTCAGCAATTCCCAGGGCCATCGTGTTGTACCAACAGCCCAGGCTGTCCAAAACCTCTGGGAATCGCTCCCAGTTTGTTGAGTTTTATGGTATTTATTTTATGCAAATGTTCCAAAGGTATCAAGGTACACAGAACCTTTTCCCTTTGGACACACACATTTTCCATGGGTGGTGTCTGTTGGTACAGAGGGTTTTTTGCCAAATATTTCTGCTTTTTAGGCTTGAACCAGCACATGATTTGTTTTCTGCTGCAGTGAAATGCACCTTGCTTGGAAGGATCAGAATTTTTATAGTTCTTTGTACTGTTTTTTGATTTTCTGTGTGGCGAAGTCAATAAATGGATTTAAAAAGACCCAAAACACTGAGTTTTCACTTCTCTCTTGGTTTTGTTTTTCTGGTGTTCTTTGATGGTTTCTGCTGGCAGCTGGCGCCAAAGTGCAGGTTGGTTCCTCTTTATGCAAAACCAGGACTGACTGATAAAAACAGCCCTTTTTTGGAGCTGTTTGTGCTCAGGGCTCCATGTGCAGCCGGAAGGAGCCCAGACAGGCCCAGCCCAGAGCGGATTTGAAGCTTCCAGTCTGCTTAACCCTGCCCAGTGTCGCCCAGTTCCGCCGGGGGGGTGGCAGGAGGTCAGGTCCCAAGAGGAGATTAAACTGCTCTGAACAGAGCTTAGTCCCAAGCTCTCCTCTTGGATTTCTTCTTTCTCCCCTAGGGAACCTTGGAGGAGGATCCCAGCACATCCCAGCTCCTTGGAGCAGCAGAAACTGGGAGAGACTGGAAAAAAGAGACCCCAGTGGTGCAGCTTCTGCTGCCAACCAGCTGTGCAGAGGGGAAGAGAGGGTGCCATGATCCACAGTGGATTATAAGGGCACCTCTGGGGAGTGTTTCCTGCAGTGAATGGAAAAAAACTTCCTCCTTTCACCCACTTTTTTCCTAAGGAGGAAATTCCCTGGTCCCAGTCTCTCTGACCCTGGCCTGGCAGTGGTGCTGAGGCTGGGCTGGGAACAGGGAAGGCCACTGGTTTTCTTGGGAATGGGGTTGCTGAGAGCTTTGGGGAGAAAAAAAAGTGGAAAATGAAAATGAAAATTCCCATGGGGATGTGGGGTTGAGTGCTGGGCCAAACCTTGCTACAAGGGCCTCAAAGCACCACTCTGCTCCATGTCCTTAGGGTGATTTCCCAAAAAACACTGAATTATGCTCCAAGAACTCGCTGAACTCCTTGCTTGCTGCCACCCTGATTTGAGAGGGCTGGAAAGGTCTCAAAATATTTAACTCTGACAGGCAGAGCTGGTGTGGTGGGAAGGAACAGCCTCTCAGGTCCCCCGAGGGCAGGAAGTGGCAGGAGCACCCCGGGGTGCAGTGCCAGCTGGGGTCATGTTGGGGTGATTGCCCAGGATTCAGTGCAGGAGTGGAAATACTGTGAAATAAAATCAGAAATACTTTGCCAACTCAGAGCCCTGGGTTGGGCTCTGCTTATCGGGGCTGGGTTGCTGAGATTCTGATACAGGTGGTTTAGCAGAGAGGCCTGGAGGGTGGAGGGGGTGGAGGATGTTTAATGCACGAGAAACTGGGCAAAACTGGGTGAAACTGGACACTGAGGTGAGAGCTGGGGTTGGGTCTGTGCCCTTCAACCCTCCTGCTCCTGTGCCAGCTGCGACAGGAGGGTGGAGCCAGGGGGGATTGGGCTCTGCTACCAGGGAACAAGAGGAAATGGCCTCAAGTTGTGCCAGGGGAGGTTTAGGTGGGATATTGGGAAAACTCCATCATGGGAAGGGCTGTCCAGCTGTGGCACAACTGCTCAGGGCAGGGGTGGAGTCCCCATCCCTGGAGGGATTTAAGAGCCATGTGCATGTGGCACTTGGGGACATGAGTTAGTGGTGGCCTTGGCAGTGCTCTGATGATCTCAGGGGTTTTTTCCCACCTAAATGATTCCATGATTCTGTGAAATGCTCCTGGATCCACTCCCTGACCTCCAGCCTGGATCCCAAGTGAACCCAACATGCAAACTGAAAACCACCCTCGGGTTTATTTTATCTGATCTTTTTTTGTTTAAAGCTTTGAATCTTGCGTGGCCTCATGAGCAAACACCTGAACCTGTGCTGATCTCACAGCAGGTATTTTCCTTATGGGTAGGGCACCAGCCAAGCAAACACATCAGTTTTAACTCTCCAAGACAAAATTCCATAGTCTGGGGAGGTTTGTTTGGATTAAAAACCCATCAAAATGAGCGAGATGGCATTTGCAAGGTCAGAGCTCTTTGGGGTGAGAAAATCAGGGGGAGAAGCAAGTTTGGGTCCCCCTCAGAGCTGTGGAAGCCATGGGGGTGCTGCTGGGGAGGGCTCGGGTGTCACTGCACCATCCTGTGCCTAAATTGGAGGTTTCTGCTCTGCAGAGGGTCCCAGGTAAGATGTTCCCCTTGGCTTGTTAAACCCTCCCCCTGGTAGCTCTGGTGCTTCCAGATTGAGCCACTCACCTTCCCAGAGGGTTTTTTGGTTGGTTTTCATGTGACTTGTCCCTTTCTCTTCATGTGTGACAGGGAACAACCTGCTACTCATCATTCCTTGGGCTTTTCCCCCTCAGGATCCCTTTGCCCTGGGCCCTGAGGAGGGCAGGGGTCCCCAGCAGGTTGGGGGTGGAGTAGGACCTTCTCTTGACCCCTTGTAGGTGCCCCCGGCCTGGCACAAAACATTCCCTCCCTGTTCATGTGGGTCAGGGGACAGTGGAGGGGCAGGTGATGGTCCCCTCCCTGCAGGACCCTGCAGGATCTGCAGGGGCTGAGGAAGGACACACAGCCTGTGGGGTGAAAAGGAAGGACAGGGACATTGGCTGTGCCCTGGCCTTGCTTTGTCCTACTTTTTTTTGCCAAAAGGAAACTTTTCTGGCTGGCGTTGGTGCATCAGGAGCTCTCCCTTATCTGGGCAGCAGGTGAACATCACAGCTGTCCAAGGAGAGGTGGGGAGTAGTCAGAGCTTCCATCTGGATCACACTCAGTCTCTGCCTTTGTGCTGTCACATTCCACAGAATCACAGAATCACAGAATGTGCTGAGCTGGGAGGGACCCACAAGGAGCATTGAGTCCAACCCTCAGCCCTGCACAGACCCATCCCCAAGAGTCACCCCCTGTGCCCCAGAGGATCATCCAAACCCTCCTGGAGCTCTGGCAGCCTTGGGGCTGTGCCCACTGCCCTGGGGAGCCTGGGCAGTGCCCAACCAGCCTCTGGGGGAAGAACCTTTGGCTGAGATCCAGCCTGAGCCTGCCCTGACACAGCTCCAGCCGTTCCCTGGCTGCTGTCACTGGTCCCCCCAGAGCAGAGCTCAGTCCCTGCCCCTCCTCTGCCCCTGCCCAGGCAGCTGGAACTGCGGTGAGGTCTCCCCTCAGTCTCCTCTTCTCCAGCTGAACACACCAAGTGCCCTCAGTGTCCTCACACAGCTTCAAATCAAGGCCCTTCCCCATCCTCATGGCCCCCTTTGGACATTCTCCAGTGGCTCAATCTCTCCCTTCCACTGTGTCCCCCCAAACTACCCCAGTGTTGAGGTGAGGCCGCCCCAGGGCAGAGCAGAGCGGGACAATCCCCTCCCTGGCCTGGCCATGCTGGGCCTGATGCCCCCAGGACAGGGTTGGCCCTCCTGGCTGCCAGGGCACTGCTGACTCATATTCGACTCATATTCAACTTTCCACACCCACCCCTGGTTGAATTTTCCCCCGACAAGCCTGTGGGCAGAATGGCCACTGTGAGCTCCCTTGGGTCTGCTCCCTTGGGGTCCTTGGGGGCTCCCTGTGGGCCTGTACCCCCCCAGCCAAGAATTGTGGAATAGGTTGGGTTGGGAGACACCTTACAGACAACCCAGTTGCATCCCTTGCCATGGGCAGGGGCACCTTCCACCAGCCCAGGTTACTCCAAGCCCCATCCAACCTGGCCTTGGACACTTCCAGGGATGGGGCAGCCACAGCTTCTCTGGGCACCCTGTGCCAGGGCCTCCCCACCCTCACAGGGAAAAATTTCCTCCCAGTATCCCACCTAACCCTACCCTCTGGCAGTGGGAATCCATTCCCCCTTGTCCTGTCCCTCCATCCCTTGTCCCCAGTCCCCCTCCAGCTCTTGGAGCCCCTTCAGGCCCTGCAAGGGGCTCTCAGCTCTCCCTGGAGCCTTCTCTTCTCCACGTGAACCCCCCCAGCTCTCCCAACCTGGGTCCAGAGCAGAGGGGCTCCAGCCCTTGGAGCAGCTCCCTGGACTCCTCTGGACTCTCTCCAGCAGCTCCACGTCTCTCTCATGTTGGGTCCCCGAGCTGGAGGTGGGATCTCACCTGAGTGGGGCACAGGGGCAGGAACCCCCTGCCCACACTGTGGGTGCCCAGAGCAGCCTCCCAGGACCTTTCCTGGGGCATCCCTGGCTGTCCCCACTCCCTGGCAGTGACAGGAATGCCCCAGGGGATGGTTCTGGGTGCTTTCTGGGATCTGTTTGCAGAGCTCACACTCTCTGCTGGTCCCGACCTGTCTCTGAATTACCAGTTTGCTCAGTGATCTAATCCTCTTTGCTGGATCAGCCTTCAAGCCTATTTCCAGGGCTCCTTTCCAGCATGGTCACACTATTCCCTGCTGAGGAACCATCTCTGGGTTTTATTTTTCCCCTACTCCATCACCAGCTCACAGCCAGGCTTCTCCCAGTCCTGCTCCCAGGGGTTTGCTGTCCCAAGTGTCACCATGATGGGATTTAAAGTCACCTTTTATGGATTCATCTCTATCCATGTAGTGTCTGGGAGGAATATTTTCTCCCAGTGATGTCCTGTATCATGGCAAACAGTGTGATTTCAGCCCCAGTAATCCAAAGGGTGCAAGCCACTGGGAGAAATGGGGACACTGGGAGTGACTGAGGCTCTGCTCTGAAGGAGGGACACACATAGGGAATGTGGGAGGCTGGGACAGGAGGGTTTGCAGTGAGCAAGGAGGCTTCAAAATTGCTGAAAGCATCAAAAAAGAGGGATGGAGCATAAAAGAATTGGGATGGAGGGTTTTGGTGGGAAGCTGGGGAGTGAGGAATGGCCCAAAGAGGTACCAAAATCCACAATTAAACCAGATTTGTAGTGGCAGCAGCTTTAAACCTTGCGCTGTGCCTGTCCAGTTCTGCCCAAATCAAGCAAAAAGGGGAAATTCTCATCCAGCAGCTGCATTACCTGAACAAAGATGTTTCTGGGGATTTTGGGGAGCACTGGGCTCTTCTCCCAGCACCGAATCTGGAAAATCTGTGTCAGTCTCACAAGCTTTGAGTCGCAGCCCAAGGTGGAGATGATGTTCTCAAAGGCCTTGCCATGCTCACAGCAGAGCCCTGCAACGACGGGGCCACCTCAGGGTGTCAC